CTGTCCTTCTTTCTTTTGTTCAATATCAGTCCTTTTTTCCCCCCTTTCTCACAGATTTCCTCCCTTCTCACAATCCTTCACCTGTCACTGCCTGTAAACCAGCCTCCTCCTCCTCCTCCTCCTCCTCCTTCCCTCTTACTTAGACACTGTCTGTCTATCTCCCTTCATGTCTTCCTTCCTCTCATGTGGCATCTCGCCCTAGAAAAACCTCTCTTTGTGTTGCAGTCAGCCAAAGATCTGACTGAGCTGTTCTGTCTGAAAACCACTTCTGAAGAGTTTGGGGGGAAGCTGCCGTCTGTCTGGCCAACCTGATCCCAGACCAGCCGTTTATCTACAAGGCCACACTCATGTCTGCGCCTCCTCCTCCTTCTGCTGACATCGTCAGGGAGATCCTGGAGCAGCAGGCATCAGAGGCGACAGGAGGAGATACTGAGGCCAAGTGGAAGGATCTCCAAAGTGCTGAAACTGGAGTTTTTTTGGCGTTGTTTTTTTAACAACACGAAGAACACTGAGCCGTAAAGATACTCACAGTGCTGGTGTAAGGAGGAAATTTAGGGTCAACAGGGCAAAGGGTGGTGGACTCCAAGAAAGACAGGAAATAAGAGAGAAGTCCAGAGGTAGTCACAGATAAAGATCAAACCCACGGGGAAGAAGAGAAGGGTGGACAACATACAAAACTTAGTCACGGCTACTTTATGTCATTTTTCCTTGTACTGTATATCCTTCTCTCCTTGACTTCATATTCTCTGTGGTCATTCTTCAAACAATGGCAACATCTCCATCATCACAGGCTCCAGCTTAGTCTCTTTAAACCAACTCTTCTTCCTTGAGTCTGTTCTGCTCTGTTCCTTAGAGACACCATCTTAAAATTCTGTTTTTGGCATATTTAAAAAACTATGTTTACTCTAACTCTGCCCTTTGAGCTTCAACATGTGTTTCTGGAGTCTAAACTCATTCAAGCCATGAGGTAAAGTCCTGTATGGAGAAATCAACTACAAAAACTACTGTAGTGCCATAATGATTTTAGTGTGAAATCTTCCTTAACAAAGTTAAAAAGGTTAAATAGTATAAAACCCTGTAAACAAATTCTGCTCTGTACAAAGGAAACATAAGAACAATATCTGACCTCTTTCTTTTTAGAACTTTGCTGCATTAAGAAGTACCACAAATCGAGCTAAAATACCTCATTTGGGAGTTAAAAAAAAGTTTGAAAATGTTATGTTAAGCTCCCTCTAGAGAAGATTCTGAAAAAACGTCTGAAACCAAACTTCACTTGTTACAAAGAGTCAAAGACAACACATCAGTACAGAGGTTGTAACATCGCTCTGGGAATTTCTTTTTGATGTATTTTTAATGACACTTCTTTTATTTAAAGAAAACTGCCTGAGTAATGTAAAACACTCAGGAAAGATATTTCTTAGACAGTATAGATCTACCCACACAATTCAAAGACAGGTGTTTTGTCTCATTTTTTTTATCCGTGAGACCATGATGGGTACACAAACCCAGTGTCAGAACCTGTGACACGGTCTGGTGTTCTTTTACCTTATACGCTGCCCCCCCATGGATGATGGACTTGATGAAGATACCCAGATCTTCTCCGGTCTCTTTGGACTTGTTGCCTTTCAGGCTGACGCCCAGCCCCGCGGAGCCCGTCTCATTGAGGGGGATCTCGTACATCAGCTGCTCCCTGCCGTCCTCCAACAGCACACTGTTGGCTTCCTCACCTTTCTGGGGGGAAAAAAGTAATTTTTAAGATTTTAATAAATACTTTACATTTCAAATCAAAACAATAGTCCAAATCAAGTTTCTCAAAGCTCGTAGCCCAAATCCTGCCCATCTCGTCATTTTATAACCCCACCACAGCCAAGCTTAGATGTCTGGTTGTCCTGAAATAAAGGTCTAAAACTGTTATAGAGAGTCTATATCACATTTACTGGTCATGATAAATGCAGTGGTCAAATTCCATCCATGTACATGGTGATTTATTCACAATTAAATTCAAATTTTGCTCAATGTTATTATTTAGAATTTAAATCTTCATTTATTTGTTTATTTTATGTATTGTTTATGTAGCAATTTACCACAATGGGAGATGTGGCATGCTAGCATTGTATTACTACATAAAATGTTAACGACATGGTAGCGTTGTTTGTTTAGCTTGTGTGTATTAGCGCTTGTGAGTGTTAGCCATACGCGAGTATTTCGAAAATATTTTTACGGTAGCATTATGACCAGATTTTTCCACTAAAGCGCATCAAATCTGTAAAAATATAAAACACAGAAGGAAGTGAGAAAAAATTAATAACGTTCATCGGACCAAATTATTCCTATAACCCTTAAAACGGGATCAATTTTAATCGATTTTATGAAGTATTTTGTACAGGTATACTGACACTAAAGATTTTAAAATCACAAAACACAATATTAAGATGTTGTGAGGACACAGATATTCATAAAGTAAAATTAATTTTTTTTAGTCCATTGTGTGCAGGGTAGAGCTACAAGGCAATAAGAGAGAAATAGATTAAATGTGGGGAGAAGAATGGGAGGGAAAACAAAAGGGAACCAGTGAAGAGTAGAAGGAAATGAGGAAGTGAGGAGCAGGTGTTTTACAGTGGTAAAAGAAAATGAAGGTGTATTGAGCAAAAAAGACGGCAAAGCTACAGCGGAGAGGTGATTCCACTCAGAGATGAAAGGCAGGGACAGAGAGCGGTGCCATTTCCAAAGGAAACATAATAACCTTTTCATACTTTTTCTTAAAGCACGGCGGGGGAGGAGGAGATGGAGGAGGAGGAATGGGTGAGAGGAGACGAGAGCGCATGGAGGCGCACAGCAGCATTTAAAAGTAATAACCCATCCCTGAGGTATACTGGCTCCTCTTATTGTCTTCCTCCTTCTCCCTCTTTACATTTTAACCTCATCTCTCAATCTTTTTCTCCCCCCCCTCTCTCTCTCCGTGACTTTGTTTTTCTCAATTTCTCCTCCTGCTCCATTTCTCCATACGTTAGCTCTGTACTGCTGTACAGGTCTCTCTCTTTGTCTCTCTCTCTCTCTCTCTCTCTCTCTCTCTCTCTGTCTGTCTTTCAGTCTTTCTGTCTGTCTCTGTCTCTATCTCTGTCTCTCTCTCTCTTTCTGCGCATCACACCCACTCACTATTTTAATCTGCAGAATGTGACCACAGCTCATGCAACAGCGTCATTGCTGCCAAACTGAGATGAAAGTAGGAGGAGAAAAGGAGGAGGAGGCATCAGAGAGGGGAAAGGAGGATGCCTTTCAATAAAAATGGTAAAAGAAAAGATGAGATTTTATTTTTCTCCCATGTGATGTAAGTCTCCACTGACAGGTCTCCCCTCTAGTGGGCACACCGGTTTGACTGCATGTTAGTGTACATATGGACTCAGTTAGCAGCCTTTCAATCAATTCAGACAAATGAACATGACTATACATCGCACTACTGGAATGTCATAAAATGATTTTTCTAGTTGTCCCCATCAATTCTTGCCGAAAGAAAAACCCTCACCTACATGTCCCCCATATATGAAACCACATGTGTTACAGTAACATGTCCAATGTTCTCATTTGGACTGGGGAGAAGGTGAGGGCAGCTGTTAAGGAAAGCCCATGTGTCCCATTGATAGGCGAGACTGTAGACGTAACCACACCGACTTCCACTGGTCTGCAGCTGAAGTCGTCGTGACTTCTGCAGTGTGTGCAGGATCCGACCCTCTGATTGCTAATACTTCACAAAGCAACACTTCAAAACCCCTGATCTATCTGTGTAAAGATGTGTTCTCCCCTCTGAGAATTGCAGGATCATTACATCAGGCATCTCTTCTGCCAATACATGTCTCCTTTTACATCATGACATCAGGACGGAGGATGAAGGGGGAGAATGTGTCCATTAGTTTACCGTGATGCCCCGTCATCCTCCAAATTTGTCCTTTGTTTTTGGGTGTGTTCTGAATCTATTGATCTTCGTTCTGAAGCTCTGAGGCCAGCAGGACAGACTTAGTCAGAGGTCATGGTGTAAATTTAATTGCTGTTTTTCTAAACTAAAGTTTTAGTAATGGTGCTGGTTTCATTTACTGCAAACTGCTGTGTAGAGTTTTTTCAATTGTTACAAAACTCTTCTGTAGGTGGCACTAAATACACTTTAAAGGCTCTTTTTAATAATGTGAATACATGGTTATGTCACCTTGTCACAGTTGTTCCATAGTTCTAATGTACAGCGTTCAGAAATGCCAACTAGTTCGTAGTGAAAAGTGGATGAACACGTCATCACATGGCGCCATATATGGTATACGGATTTGTTTACATTCGCCAGTTACGCAATACATTGGATTGTGCTGAATTCACTTTCTTCCATTTGTGTCCACTTGTAAGACTAAGTGTACTTCAATAAGGACATGTACCACATGCTGTAGTGTGCAAGCACCGAGCAAACTCAGGGAACGTTGAGGACAGTTTCAGCTGCACAGATGCTTGTGGGGGCTCTTATTACTCAACCTGGGGGGCTACAAACAATTCTGTGATCCTAAGAAATTGAAGTAGTCCTCGCTCAGAACACAGTGGGTAGTGAAGGCTATCACAGGAGCCTCAAACACTGAGTGTTTGTTTATAGTACCAAGCTGCTGATTTTAATCTATTTACACAACCAGCCGAATCTCAGTGGTGGTCCAAAAGCAGGCACACACTCCAAGATCCTATTTAATGCCCACTCCTTTGGGGCAGATAGGGTCCCCAGGGTAGCCGGCAGCCCCTTGGCTCCACTGCCTGACCGCCTCCTCCCTTCTCTTTAGCCCTAAGCAATAGCTCTTTAACAAGCTTTTACCCCCAGAGAAGACCACCCTCTTCAAAAGCCAAATGAGGAGACAAAAAGGAGCCTTTTCTTACCCCGAGGTGGGTGGTGAGGAGGCGGGGGAGAGGGGCCAAACACAGCGATTACACACAGAAGCTTTTGTCGCTGAGGATTTTTTTTAAATGGGGGTTTCGGAGCTAAGAGATTAGTGGTGAGAGCGACATTCAATTAAGATGAGATCTCGCTTCACGCTCGACGGCGACGACAGAGCTGCCAATTAATCGCCTTAACGTCTGCCTCTTCGCAGCCTAATACCTATACCTCGAAGTGCGGATAAAGGTAAACGTAAAATGACTGATGGAATGGATAATTCTTGCAGGGAGGGTAGCTGGAGTGTGGGGAGTAAAAAGGAACTCCACCTTGAGGACAGGATGACAGAGACGGACGGTGTGTCAGAGGACATTTTGAAACGTGGACAAGCAGTGCACAGAGGACAAAAGTCACTTTCTGCATGACAAACTCTTTTCCTGTCACTGACCTAGGCTCTCTGACAAACTCAGGGTCAAGCATGTGCTGCCTGACCTCTGCATCCTGTCATTGGCAAATCGTGATTGAGCTTCAAATACACACACAGCACTCACACAGTTGATTACTCTACCTAAAAGAAAAGAAAAGAAAAAGTTGTCGTTTTACAGTGTTTCTCTTATTTCCAGCCTGGAACAAAACCAGTGTCTGTGTGAAACCATCAGTGCACAGAGGAATGGAGCCTCAGAAAGAAACATTGTCCAGAAAAGATGTGTGATTAGAAAGTTATGGCCTTAATGAGTCACAGAGTGTTAGACCGATCTGCAGACAGCGAGGGAAATCAAGATCCTTTGTGTCGTGGCAAGGATGCTAATTAGAAGTCTGTACAATGGGTCCAGACTCATTTTTTAACCAATTGGACCGAGGCCTTGAGGCTGACTCAAAAATGTGGGAGAACAAGTTACAGGATAAAAGAAATCTAAATAAAATACAGAGCCATCACAATAAACAGAGGAAACACAACATGCAGCCTTGTCTTCATTGTCTAGTTGTAGAATTTGAAGGATCTTGTTCGTGTTAGGAAGTCTCCAGAGGGCTTCGTTGGAATAACATGACTATCTTTCCTTCCTCACAGGAACTGTAATAGCACCAGCTAAAAAGAGCATTCCTTTCAAGGCCATCTTTTCAGCTTAACTGTGATTGAAACCCATGCAATATCACTGAAAGAGTAAGGTCACGAATAAATGTGTCTGGCACTCAGCAAAAAGACTATTTTAAATAAAGACAGACATTTTCTGCTTTTATTCAACTAAGGGTTTAATTACTCTAGGCCTGAGTGACACTGATCTCAGTCACCAACACGTTGTATTAGCAGTGATCCTCCACAGTGGCTTTGTGATGTTGAGCACAAAGCTAATAAAGAGCATGGTAAAAAAGAAATAATAAAACAATAATGGGACATTATACAATTAAAAGTTTGTATAATGTCCCTTTAAGCACAGCCAAATGTAATTACAAAAGATTCAAATTATTTCTGGGTTGATGCAGAAAACAGTGGCAGAAGAAAGTATTATTCAGCCAATTAATTTTAGTGGTGACCAGATGTAAAGTGTGATAATGAAGCACTGATTTGCATCTCCCCCAAACACACACACACACACACACGCACGCACACACACACACACAGACACGCACTCCCTGCAAATGTGAGCAGAATTCTCCTAAAACATGAAGTGTCTGTGTGAGCAGAATTCTCCTAAAACATGAAGGATTCTTCTTTTTTTTTTGAGCAAAAAACGTTCTGTAACCATCTCTAAAACCATGAATATTCATCAACACCCACACAGAATACACGGACACACAATCCATCCTGCGACAGACACAGGAGGCAGATGGTCACGATCACTTCATGTGTGTCTACATTCTCTGCTGGACCACATTTCTGTGAGCTGCTGAACTAAGAGCTCAGATTCCTAACTTTACTGCAGAGCACAGTATGTTCCACACAAATAAAAATGGATATGAATAGAAAAACACAAAATGTTTTCTTCTGGATTTGTGTTGATTAAAAATGTGCTGACATTTAAATCTCCCGTGAGCAATATTTGTATTTGGTAATGTCTTTTTCTGCCTCGGTTCAGTCTTTGTAGGCAGAGATCAGTTCATGTTTTTGTGCGTCGTTTGTTTTTATCAACCATCACTGGTATTTGTGCTAAAGAAAATATCACAATGTACAATTTTATGTTCCATTCTGAAACTACTCAGTTCTCCAAAGAGTTTTTCTTTACTCTTTCAACATTACAGACAGTCGTCATCAGTTCCTTCACTTATCAGTGTTTAGTCACTATATTTTTTGGAAGTTACATCTGGGAAATCTTCAATATATCGTTCATTCATGTCACACTGATGTTGCTGCATTAAACAAATGGTACAACTTAGTTTGTCTATATGAAATAACATCCTCTGGAAATGTCTCCCAGGATACAAACCAAATTACTGTCGGATTAATAGACAGACTAAAGCATCCACTTACAGCATGGAGAAAACTAACACATTTACTGTATACGGCCTCTCAATAACAGTTACTATTTACGGTCATTTGGGGAAATATAAATCATGGAATTAGTCTAACTTCAGTCTGTCATTGGTGGTCTGGAAACAAACCCTCTCACCTTGTCCAAGATGAACAGTCCAGCAGCTTATGCATAAAGTGTATATGTGTGTACTTCCTAGAGGACTTTAGTCTGTGTTTAAGCTGAAGGACTGGGTCTGAGATAAGGTCCAGATCTCATGGGCACAAAGTCCTTTAACAGCCTTGATGGAAGCTAGAATTAAACATCTCTCTCTCTCTCTCTCTCTCTCTCTCTCTCTCTCTCCCTCTCTCCCTCTCTGTAATTCTAATGCACTTACTACAGCTTGTAGATGATGAAAAGTGGCTGCTAATGAGGCAAAAATTTTCAGGGGCGAGAACTCGGCTGTTTTAAGAGTGTGTCTTTTTTTAATCATCAAGGACTAGTTGTTAAGAGTTTAAAAGTGTGCATGCAAATGTGCGGGGCTGTGTGTGAACCTGGGGTGTGAATATGCATCAGTGCTGATGTCCTGGAAGCTCTTTGAAGAAAAAGTAAAAAGTGGAATGACCAGAATAGACTGCAGAGGACAGATCGCAGGAAAGAAACCCACACGGGCATCAACTTCATTCACGAAGAGAACGACACATTTTAGGTGTGTGAGACAGTGTGTGATTTGGCTCACAGAACCAGCCGAAGACCTTTGACCTCTTCAGCTGCGACAGGTAAATGGTCACTTAACACCCCTGACATGTCAACATGTACGGACATGCTGGCATGTTTCCTGCAGGGCGGCCTGAGTGTGTCTGTGAGTGTGTCTGACTTCCTGTGGCATAGCTGTGTCAACAAGCCAGAGCGAGGCAGGAAGGCTGCAGCACGCACAGGGTGAGTAAAACCTGAGTTTATGGGCAAAAAGGTTGGAGTTTTGCTCATGTGACAGGAAACATTAAAAAGGAAAAAAAAAATGATGACAGTACAGGAAAACAAAAGAAAGAAAATAAACGGAGGTGACAGGATGAAGAGGCCAAGAGAGTCTACTTCCAATTATGTTTCCTTTCAAAAACACCAGATGATTAAATCCACTTCATTCATCATTTATATGCACTGGACTAAAATGTGTGAAGATTTTAGTCAAAATGTCATTAGAATAATAAGACCTGTCAACTACGGTATCACTAACTGCTGCAAAGTCTGAAAGGAAGACATCGACGTAAAATACCTCCAGTACATGGCAGTACATGACGTCTGCCATACATTTCTGTTTCTGAAAACCGCTGTCTATCTCTGTTCAGTTTGGGAGGGAGACATTGAGTACAAGACCCTGAAAATCCTCCTTCTATGGCCATTAAGAAATTACAGCACAAATAGTGAAATGTGACAATTAAAGAAAGGGAAAAGTATCATCTTTAAGATACCTTTATTACGCAACAACTGAGAGCCAAACTCTTCAACTTCTGCCTCCTCAAACTAGGAAACAAGTGTTTTCAAACTCCTACCATTTTGGGGGGATTTGGGACCAGATTTGGAGGATTTGGGTTGCATATATTTTCTATCATCATCGTACATAAGCCTGGAGTTTGCTGCGTTTGAGTGTGTTGCTTTTTCCTCACCAGTTCCCGGGGCAAGAAGAGGTCCTCCTGTCGAGACACCATCAGAGACACACTCTCCCCCTGCTTGGTGCTGCGCAGCATGGCCACCAGCTCCTCCTGGCTACGGTCTGTCATGTCCACTCCATTCACCTGCACACATTAACATTCACAACAAAGGAGTTTGACACTAACAGCTACTTTTTTACTTTCAGTAATAATGCTGAATTTAGGCCCAAAAAATAGCAACACCAAATTTCTTCTTCTTTCTTCTTTTCAATTTTTTTCTGGATAAATTTGTTCATGAGAAGGCGGAGCTCAGAGTCTCACCTCCAGGATGCGGTCACCAGGCTGCAGGCGTCCATCTTTGACTGCTGCACCCCGAGGTAGGATGTTCTTTATCAGGATGGGCCCTCGTCCATTGATGGAGGAGTCTCGGGTTACGACTGTAAAGCCCAGACCCTCAGGACCTGCAAAAAAAAAAAGCAGGCTACGTCAGACACCTAAAATATGTCTAACAAAATGATTCTATTGCTTAATTCTTCTCTTGGGTCTCCTGATGTGGAATTCCATCACGTTTTCCCCTCTCCTCTGCCCCTCTCCTCTTCTCATGTCCTGCCGGACCCTGGGCTACAGTTTAAACATCATCTTTGACATTAACTACTCTTTAAGTGTCTGTTTTCCTCTGGGGGGTTCAGTCACTGCTGCTCAGTCCCTGAGCTGTCAGGAGAAGGCTGGATTAGACAGTGTCTGCCTTTAATTTCACGTGTGAGCAGGCTGAACGGGGGCCGATGAAGGGATGTGGAGAAATGGAAGATGAGGGTAGAAAAAAAAAGGTGGGTTTTACAGCTCGGGGGAAAGTGGTGAGAATGAGTGAAGAGAAGAAGAGAAGATCCTTGGATATTATTCTCTTCTCCGGCTCCTCTCCCTCTGGAGACAATGTGATTTTCACAAAGACCCCACTTGTGTGTGTGTGATCCTGTGTTTATCACAGTTTGTGTGCATTCCTGAAATCTGCATGTGTGTGTGTGTGTGTGTGGCCACAGACACAGACACACACACACAGCCATCAATGTCCCAGAGCCGCCACCTTCTCCCTCTTTCACGGCCTTGCAAGCCCCAAGCCATGAGTGAAATGTGCCACGCTTCGTGTTTTTGTGTGTGTGTTAATGTGTGTGTGTGTGAAAGAGTAAAGCTGGCGTGGCATACTAAAGGCGGTGAGCGATGCTATCTGCTCTCTGAGCTAAGACTCTGCCTGCCCTACATTAGCGCACCTAAACCTCTCCGCCTGTCAATCACACACAGAAAAGAGCCTGTTGCCAAGGGAGAAGGTGTTAGAAACCCCATAATATCCTCAGCTCTGATCTCCCATCAGGTGAGAGAATGGAGGGAAGTGGGGGGGGGCATACAAAAGAGGTAGGGAAGGAGGAGGGAGAGGAAAAAAACAGCAGCAGGGAAAAGAAAACACCAGGAGGAAAAGAATTGAACAATAAAGCAGCTGTCACTGGAGCTGATGTGAAGGTGGAGAGAATGGAGCCACAGTCTCTGCATCCCTTCATCTGTCCAGGCATCATTAGCTTGGACCACACCTTTGTGCAGGAGTATGTGTGTGGGTGTGTGCGTGTGTCACCCAATTACAGCTCTCCATTCACCAGCCTGTAATACCACAGGTTGATGGAGAAGAAGAAAAGATACTCCATGTGATCAACACAGCAGATGTGATTTTCACAGTGGAATAATTCACTTCAACATTCCCATCTATTGCCTTCAATGGTGTAGGGGCATTAACGAAGGCTCGACTCAAAGGCAGGACGGGGCAAAAAAGCCAAACTGATTTTTTTTACAGCATTTCTAAAGAGACATAAAACTTTAGTATTGATGCTCCATGATTTGTCAAATGTCTTTTATAAATTAAAACAATTGAAAATTTTCCTTCAAAAGTGATTGACACTTCAAGATGTTTATTTCTATCCAAACTAGGGAAATTACAAAGTATGTACGCCATAAAGAACAATTCATGTTTTCACTTGCCTACGCAGTTATTTTAGGACCCTTCTTTATATTTCTAATAAAACTTCTAACATGTTCTTCACAATCAGAAAATGCATGTTCCACCTCTGAGTTATTTAAATCCAGTTAGCCAATCAGAGTCACAGGCAGGTTTTCTGAAGTGATGTAATCAAACAGAATCTACAGGACTGTTAGATACAGCTTTCCATTTGTCCATTTTTCATTTGAAAACTGAAATAATAAGAGACTCTTCTCCTGAGAAGTTACCTTTCTTCAGGTCAATCTTCATCCTCTTGCCGCCCTTCTTATTTATGGGGTCCAGCATACTGTCAGAAACAGGGCTCATACTGGGCGGCTGACTGTGGCTGTGGGTGTTGGGTTGAGGGGAGGTGCTAGCAGCTCTCTCTGGAGGTGTGGGAGAGACTCTCTCTAAGGACGAGGTTTCAGACTTGACCTCCAGTGCAGTCAGGTCTGGAGTCCTGGAACGTTGGCCTGGTCGCCTCACTAACTGGTTCACTTTAGGGTCAGGTTTGGCTTCTGGTTGTGAGTCAATCCTGGCACGGACCACCGTTGGACTCTTTGTTCTTGCTAAGTCATCTGCATTGAACAGCTGGCCAATTAGGCTTTTCTCGTATTGCAGCTTGTTGGCCACAGGAAGAACCTCAGCGTAAACCATGGGGGAGGACATGGCCTGGCGGAACACTTCCTGAGAACTAGAAGAAGAAAAGGAGAGGAATAATCAGTAATATTCATGCCTTTGTCACTGGTTACATCAAATCAAAGTTCAAATATTCATTAAATGTTCCACTAAATGTCTCCAGATCCATGGATTTCTGCAGTTATTTGAAAATTGTAAGGGGAGTTCCCACTTGTAGCACTGCCCTCTGCTGACATTTGTCTCTTTTCTTACTGTACTTAAAAATCTGGAAGTGTCTGATTAGTTAATGTAAAATAATAAAATGTAAACGACATTTGAACATATTGCATTCAAATGATGCAGCGCTGCCATTGAAAGGAAGCAAGTACGGCCCCATCACTGCTTTATGTTTAGAAACCAAGAATGTCTGTGAGCATTTGTTCCGGCACAGCTACATGGACAAACCAATCAAAGCTTCCATTTCTTGATTTTATGGTTGTCAAGCTAAATGTTTTTTTTCTTATTTGCTCGGGAAACAATAAAGACCTTGCTTTATTCACTTTCTGGCCGACATTTCCTCTTTTTCGTACTGTGTTGTAATTCATAGTATCACAAGCCTGTTAGTAAATTTGCCAGAATGACTCTTTAAAGTAACTCAGAAAAAAAAAAGTTAGACTAAGGCAGTCAGGCAGACCATAAACCATTCATTGTAAACCACAGGGACAAAGAACAGAAGAAAAAACCTAGAAAACTACAAAGATGTAAAACAGAAAGGGATCCTGGGAGAGTAGAGAAGAACACAGACTGAGACGAGACGATGAAGAGGCCGAATGAGACCGATGAGTCTTTAATGGAGCTCTATTTCAATTTGGATCCAACATAGAGCGACGCCTCCAGCTGGTGTGGGACGCCGCGGTCCCTGTCAGATGGAGGACGGCCTCACAGCGGCTTCTTATTGTGGCTTTTCTATCAGGACAACATTAACACAGCCAGCGTGATGGAGTTAAATGTTCCTTTTCAGAGAGGACAGAGAATCTGAGCAGGGGGAGAGCGGAGGCAGAAGGTTGTAGCCGTGTTCAGTGGAATGTAAAGTTAGATACGAGGCTCTTTCTGAGGCATCGAACCTGAGAAGCGTTTCTCGCTACAGCAGTGTGTTAACACAAAGGAGTGTGAGCACAAACATAGAAGAATAAACTTGGTGGGCTTTTTTTTAAACTGTTGATTTTCTCTTATTACACTATAATGTACAATAAAAAGACAAAACATTTCTTTATATCACATTAAACTAATCTCTGCCCTTTGTTCTGATTTTGTAAATGATTGATGATTTAGGTCAATACATTTATATTTTTTCTAAACCTTTACAAAAAATAATGCATTTTTCAATCCTAACAAACTACAGTTGTCAACCAAACTGTTGGCTCCACCTCTATATTCATTAGTTGTTATTACAGCTTTCCAATTGGACAACAGTGTTTTAACTGATGTTAAGACATTTTTACAAATATTGGTCAATAAGTCAATCTTATTGGCAAAGACCAAACTCACAAAACACATTTGTTTCAAGGGACTTTACTGTTTTAAAATTATAATAAAAATTAAAATATCCTCCTAACAAAAACATTTAAGGTGAAACAATGGAGGACTGTATGTAGTGTTCAGTCATTTGTTTATACACACACTTCACTGTATGTCGTAGCAGAGACTTACTGTCCAAATGTCTTGTCTTCCAGTGGTGTGTCGTTGATTTGGACGATGCACTCGTCTTCCTTGAAGAGGTTTTCCTTCCTGGAGCGACTGTTCTCCTCGATGCCTCTGACATGGAGACCCAGCGTTCTTGAAGAAACACCAACGTGAGGGTTGAGTTAATGCATTAAGGAAAACACACACGATCGCAGCAAACACAATCAGTTTGGCTTGTTGCTAGTTTCATTTTTGTGGCAGACGTTGAGTAGAGAAGTGTGTGAAGACTACCTTCCACTCAAGGAGGAATAGTACGGAACCACATGGATTCCCAGAGGCCGCTGGTCCCCAGGGAACTCCACTGTCTTTGTCAGGGAGCTGTTGAAAACAGAGAACACTTTCTTACATGTTTACGACACGGACAGGTGTTCATGGAGCAGTCTTTAGGGTCAGATAGAAAAAGACACAATAAAATAAAATGAAACCTAATGGCTGAAAACTAAATATTATGGCTCTGTTTGGTGTGTATATGTTTGATGGTAGGTATATATATATGTATGACTTTCTACATAGTGGGAATAGATTATCCTGAAAGTCATACAGAGAAATCGTAGAAAGTCAAAAAACTTTTTTTAGAAAACAATCCTGTTAGAACAAATTGTCTGTGTGTGTGTGTGTGTGTGTATTAGAAAGAGAAACAGACAAAGAGAGGGCCACAGGTGGGCCACTTCATCTTTATCTACCTGCTTCTCAAACCGCCCGTCTAAGTGGTGGACAAAAGGAGAAGAGCAGCAGATAAAAGAGGAGGACAGATAGAGATGAAACAGAATGAGCTCCTCTAATAATGTCTGTGCTGCGGCTTTTAAAGAAAGATAAACAAAACAATACTCCGCAGGGGAAACAGGAAGAGAGCTGTGTTTGTTATGAGATTGGGAAGAGAGTCGACCTGCATGATGGAGGTGCAGAAGAGAAAGATCACAGAGGCCAACAACAATAGCCGCATGTGTTGTAGTAATAAAAAATAGACAACATTAAGTTCTGTACTGAGAACTGCTACTAGTTTGTTAGCTGTTCCTTTTGGGTCTACATGAAAAACATGCAGCTGAGAACTAAGGATCATAACATTTTTTAATTTGTTCGGCAAAAAAAAAAAGACTTCTGTCTGTTTGCGAAAACCAATCAAACGAGTCTGAGAACAAAGGCAGTGAAGCTGAAGGTTTGTTTCTTCCTCCTTGTACATGAGCCCAAGGACTGGCTGAGATCATTATAACACACTCTTCTGTCACTGTCACCCTGCTCTTGTTAACCTCCAGCAGGGTCACACACACATATACAGTTCACACACACACACACACACACACGTGTATACTTTACACAAACATGCAGACGCACACAATTTGCATTCTTATTGGCGCAGCTATTACCTGCTCACAACACCATCAGTCACATTCCTCCAAATTGAATTTGCAGATATACACATGCATCAAATTTACATCTATTAGAGGACATTGTTACATCTGAATTACACATGGTCTCACACACACACAAATACACAAACACACACACACACACACACACAGACAAACCAGACTAGAAGGAAATGCACACACACACAGGTAGAGACCCCATTGCTGAAATATTTATACCTATTCATATTGTCTGACGCACACACACACACACACACACACACACACAGCTGAAGCTCATTTACATTTCTTAGAAAAAAAAACAAACAAAAAAAACAAGCTCATCACAGGGAGCCGTAGCTTGTTAGCACAGCAGGCTAACACGTGGCTCACTCGTCTTCTTTATGTCCCACTGACATAACAGACAAACAAACATCATGTTCCACAGGGAGCGGAGACTCAATAGTTAGAGTGAGGGACAGATGGTGTTCTGACATTTGGTCAACTGTGTCTACACTGACGTTTGTCCCGGCCTGGACCAAACCCATGGCACGGAAGTGCACTCGTTTAAAAACCATGGGCTCCTTTCGCCTCATACCATCTGTTAGCATAGAAATGTGTCAGAGTCTTATTCAGTCAAGACGACTCTGTTGTTCCACTGGTGAACTGAAGGTTTGGTCAGAGCCTTTTCTTTAAATTATACAAGTATTAGCCAACTGTTCCAAGTGCTTTAGCGTCACATGTGACTTGCCAATGTAAATATAAATATATAAAGCCTTCAATGGCTTTGTTGCTTCATTACTGTTTAGCTTTACCATGCTAATTACAAAAGAACCTGAGGTAACTGAGGAAACTGTTTAATAGTCTGGGCCAAACCTGAGTTTAAGTCAGAGAAATACAATAATGAGCCTGGATACATGTGTTTTGAAAAGTTATGCAGAATACGTGTGAATTTGCATGAATTTAAACTTTCAAATCCTAGAAAGACATTTTTGAGGTCATCTTTAGGATATGAATTGTAAGTCACTACTCCATCATCTGATTTGTCACATATACAAATTAGAATGTTCTTGTTTGAATCACTATTATTAAGCAGTATGTCAAATTAGATAATAGGAGGAAAAAGAATCTTTGTAAAACATATAAAAGTGCTTCATCGTGACTTGAGAGAAGTTGGAGGTAGTAGGGATTCAAACCTGGCCTTATCTACCATTCACTAGGAGAGAAAATTGTACCTAACATAAACTCCAAATATATTGGGTTTTTGAATATTCTATTATAAATGTAATTTTTAGGAAAGTTTCCATTGTTTTTATGAGGAAAAGTTTTTTGAAATATGCACCATTATATCTTAACGCTCTGCTGAGGTACACACACACACACACACACACACACACACACTGACCTGTAGTTAACCTTGTTCATCTTGAAGGGTGGGCTGTCTGTGTGCAGTCTGTCCAACGCTCCTTTCAGCACATGGTTGATTTCCTGTTTAGGAAAAAGCAGAAATAAACAGCTCAATCATTTCTGACACTGGCGTGGCAGCTAGCTAGGATGCTACTTGCTACATATTAGCAGCTGAACACTAACACCAATATCAATTACCTTTGTAGAGGGAGAGACTGATGTAAACACTTTGTCAAGCTCTCACCGCGAGCCGCAGTCATTCCTTCGACATCTCTGTACGTTATCTAACTACCTCTCCTCCCCCCCGCTCCATATCTGCCCCCTGTCAGGCAGGCAGACCTATTTTCAGCCTGAAAAATCAACCACCCTCGGGTTAATACATAAGACGTAAGAGCAGGAGGAAGAAAAAAAAAAAAAGAAAAAAAATAAGATGAAAATGATGGCAGGGCTATGACACAATCGTGGAGCAGCAGGGAAAGAAACTGCCCCAAATCACCACTCACATGAAGGGTGCAATTAGGTCCTTCTGCCTTGTCACTTTCATTGTGTCACCGGTGGTTATGGCTGAGAGAGACCCCACCCACCAGCCCGCTCCTTAGCAACGCCATCACCACCAGCAGCATCACCGCCCAACTGACTCCCCAACGGACCCCCTCTCACACACAGTGTAAATATGTACTTAAGACCAAGCACGAGTCCCTCACACACACACACACACACACACACACACACACACGCGCACACACACACACACGCATTACTGCAAATATTACCTTTTACACATCGACTTAACAGAGCTGCAAACATGACAAAAACTGTGTACTTTATGAAAACACACACACACACACACACATGCTGACTGCACAAACAGTGACCCACTTATCTGGGCTGTGTGAGATTACTCCACAATAGAGCTTATGTGTGTATTTGTGTGTACGTGTGTGTACGTGTGTGTGCACTCAGTGAAGGATGAGCTGAAGGATGAGCTGAAGGCTCCATTGTTGATGTGCATCTTCCCTCACTGCCATTACCCCTCACACACACACACACACACACACTCAGTGTCATCTCAGAGTTAGGTACTGACCTTGAGGACAGTCTCAGTGTCAGAGTTAGGTACTGACCTTGAGGACACAGTGTTGACAGGAACATGTGTGTGCAAATCATAAACCCACTTCTACACGATGGGAGCGGTTGCAAAACACAAACATGACAGCGCTACCATAATCTATGTACTGTAGTACAGTCAGTGCCACACACAAACACACAAACACACACTCACACACCTAGTGCATTCAGAATCAAAGGATAAAGGATGTCCTGAATAAGTAACACTGACAATGAGATTATTATAGATGATGAACTGATTTCATCTTTAGTTCCAATCAGATCCCTCCCTGATGGCACTAGAACCTGATGGACACATTTCAAACCTAAGTTGCAAAATCTGCGACATGTTTCCCTTGTTGTCTGCAGTAATTCCTGCTCTTTGCAGAATAATAATGACATTCACTGCACCATTATATCTTAATAATGAATTTTTGTTCATCAATCTCTATGATCCGCTGCCTCTTCTTCAATATATCTATCTATCTAGCCACACATATATATACATTTATCCATCCATTCATCCATTTTCATCCACTTATCTTTTCCCGGGTCGCGGGGGCAGCAGTCTCCACGACCGCCAACCAAATCCCACTGCACCGTACCAGCCCCCCTGAACCTTCCTGCAGTTGGTGAGTCCACTGGAAGATACCAACCCCCCTGACTGGGATTCAAACTTGCCCAGGAGGTGAAGCCTGGGGTTCAACACCAATGACAGAGACGTTGCCTCTGGGCCAAAGCGCCACTTATATACATACATATATACATATATATATATTTATATATATATATATATCTCCCATGTTTTTATCATAGAACACATGTTAAGTAAAATGTGATATTTTAAGATCTACAATTTTATATGCACACACACACACACACAAACACAATTTCTGCCTTTGTTCCATGCTTTAAAATTAAAGGATCAGGACATAATACCCAGTGAGGATCTAATCCCAGATTGAGATTACTTTTGTTTATGTGGACACAAAAACAAGGGTCTTTGAAGACCTTGCCATTTTCTATCAGCACAATATCACAAAAGGAAAAAAACAAAGTGTTGTTATATGGCAAACCTCAAAATGATCATATATGGAGAATCTTTAATACCAGCCTATGTGGTACCCATCAGGGCGGGGCTCTTTCTAGTACAATAAAGTACATGATAAGTACATATAGTAGAGGCTCCTTTACCTCCACACAGGGATAAGTGTGTTTTAGTAAACAGAATACTGAGTTCAGCTAAGTTAAATACTAAGTACTAAGCCATGACGGTGAAGTGTTGACAACGACTGAATGTTCCTTTAAATTGAAGTACACTAATTAAAAAAAAAAAAAAAACACTAATTGAGACCCAGATTGTTGCTAGTATAAACTTTTTAACATTCATTCTGCCTTTCTCATAGTTTGTGTTGAGGCAACCTTTTTGTGAAATTGCTCCTGCTTAATGAATAGAATACCATAATGTCAAACTCTGCCACTCAGTCTGGTGTGGGGACTAAGTCACCAATGGGACAATTACCATCTGTGACGGATTCGATGGTTTCTGTTGATGAAAATATGTGGATGTGGCCCCGGTGCTGCTGGGCCGTGTGATGAATGTTTGAAAGAACCTGTTGGAGGCAGCAGTAACTGGATATCTGCTCTGTGTGTGCGTGTGTGTGTGTGTGTGTGTGTGTGTTGTGATCTGTTTGTAGTCTGTGGTAGGTGAGAGTGACAGGGAGGTGTGCAGGGATATGAGGGATGAGGTGCTTGTGTGCTGCAGTGTGTGTGTGTGTGTGTGTGTGTGTGTGTGTGTGTGTGGCTGTTGTCACATCGGTGAGTAATGAGGTGTGTGTTTCTGTAGTGTGTTTCCTCTGACGCCTGTAGTCATGTGCTACATGTCACCCTGCCGAGAAATAGTGCGTGTCTGGATGTGTGCGCGTGCGTGTGTGTGTGTGTGTGTGTGTGAAGTCTAGAATCACTGCTTCTTCAGTCTACACGGCCAGCACCACCTGACCCTTATCACAAACATCACATCACATGACTGCAACAGGTTCTGGAAGAGAAGCGTGGTCCTCCACACACCTAAACATACATACCTGAAGGAAAACACACCCACACACCCTCATACACACTGTTGCGTACATAACAAACATAAAATCTGGCCGGACAAAGACACACACACACACACACACAAGTCCCGACTTTCTGCTGTGTAATGTGTTGCATCGGCGTGGGATAAAAAAACAGCTGGAATGATGGAGGAAACAGGACGAGGATGAGAAAAACAAACAATGCTGTGAGGAAGGCAGGTAATTCAGGTGACACTTAAACCTAGAGGGTCTAGCTACCACATAAAGTGTGTCATACATTTTGGTGAAATTACTTTTGAAATTAGGTTTAAAAACCCTTGTTAAAATGTGAAATAATAGACTAATAATAATTATTATTATCGTTATATTAGTTCACATAAAAGCACAAATGCCAGTTAAGGCTAGACTATTCCAGGGTAATATTTAAAATGTTGAAGTTGGACACTGGGGAATAGCATCACTACTACCTGTTTACACAGTAATATTATATGGTATTTATATTCAACATAAATTACTTTTTATAAAATCTCTTCTTTTTATTTAACAGTGAACACTGGTGTGGCCTGTATTTCACGGTGGGGACGGTGGTCTTGGTGTTAGTCTGTTAGACTGTCCCTTCAGTCTCAAAGCTGAACCTCCTGAGTGCTGGGTTTGTATCATTATACGCTTCTGTTTCTACAGGCTGTTAGACAGAGTTAAGGTTTCTCTGGTGGATTAAGAAATAATTATTATAAACCTTACTGAAAGTAGGTTGGTGAAATACAGGGTTAAAAACTCCTAACTGTCAGTATCATTAATACTTAAATGCAGTGGGGTGTGAACTGTGTATTTCAGACTCACTGTGTGAACTGGGAGGTTGTGAAATAATAAAGTCTTCTTTGTGGGGGAAAAAAAAAAAGGTAAATAAATAAAACATCCCTGTAAATGGAGGAAAACACCGCCGTCAGGTTTCATCAGTGAGCTGAAGCCAACAGACTGGGTTCAAATCAGGCCTACAAGGCAGCTGAGGGTTGTAAACAGTTGTAAGGGTATTTTAAATCATCTGTAATGAGTCTGTTCTCTGCAGCCCGGCTCTGTTGCTGGAGAGTATGAAGCATGACAGGCTTTTTCAGGGAGAGAAAATTGCTTTTTGCATCAACCCCGCCACACCGACGCTGCCTGAATTCTGCTTAGTCACCGCTGTGTCGGGCACGGCAGTAAACGAGGGGACTCTTCTCTGCCAGAGCTACATGGACGCACACACCGACACGCACACAAGGGGACGAGAAAGGGCAGCAAAGAAAGTTCTTCATAGTGGTGGCCTGCTTTTAAAAGGAAGGCAGCACTTGAAACAGCAGAGTCTTTTAAAGTGAAGCCTGAGGCTGTGAGCCAGATCACAGTGGGTGCATTCACTTTTCTTTTTTTTTTCGACATCACTAAGGACCAGCATGCACCACATTTCAACACAAACTAAGATCTGATTATCTCTCACTTATGTTTTTCTGAAAGTGCCAGGAGGGATGTAGCTCTTGTTTTCAAAATAACCAAAACAAGAGCTTGTTTATCTCAACACATTTAAGGGAAAGTGAAGGCTTTACAAAAAAAAATGTTATTCCATAAGGTACTGCTGTCATTGTGGTGCACTTATCAAACTGGAAACTTTGACAAAAAGGTAAAAAAAACAAAAAAAAACATCATCGTTGTTAGGGAAACATCTGATCTTTTCCAGTCCTGGTACAGACACCTGGGTGTTACATGTTGGCTGATACCATTGTGCAATTAATAAACCCAGTACCTCTACACCCGACAGTGAAGGCATCAGGCTTGACTTACAGTCAAGTATAACCTTTCAAAACACAATGAGACAAACTGAAACTCCAATGAAACAAATATGAAGCCTTTTATTACCCAAGTAACTATTGTTTTGGGGTTTGTTTGTTTGTTTGTTTTTGTTTTTTTTTCATCCACCACAAGTATATTCAGAGTGAACTCACCACTTCAGGAGACAAGTGGCGGGGGTCTTCAGGTGTTGGTGTTCGTACCATGTCATGAGCCGGAGCTAACGCCGAGTCGCTGCTGCTCCTCACCATCAGGGGTGTGTCTGAGATGAGATGGGACGTTGTTAAGAACAGACTGGTCCAGAATTTAGAAGAACCAACATCAAAAAAGTGATTGATTTTACAAATATATAGATTTGCTTGAGGATGTCCCCATTTTGGCCCCTGAAGAAGAAGAACCTCATCTGTTTAATGATATGACAAAAGCCTGACACTTACACCACAAACCTGGGTTCAGTAATAAAATTCAAGGCCATACCAAAAAGCTCATAAGACTCTGACTTGGACCTTTTTTCTGCTTCGGTCTTTTAATATCCACCTATCAAACAGAGAGCACGTTGGTTCTTGAGAACTCCAGCAAGCCCAGCAGATGTGTTGTGTTCTCACCAATTTGAAGCGACAGAGGAGAAAATAAGACACAGAGATGGAAAGAAAAATGTGAAAATGCGAGAGACAAAAATGAAAGTGTTGAGAGATGATAGTGAGAGAGGCAGAAACCTGTAATCCAGTGAAACACAGAAGGCCAGACAAACAAAAAATCTCTTTCCTGTAATCAATCTCTCTTTGGAGGGTCACTGACGGGGTCCTGGTCAAACGTGGTCAGAATAAAGGGAACAGCAGAGGAGGTCAGTGTGTGTATGTGTGTGCGTGTGGGTCGCTATTCATCATGTTGTAAGGACAACATTCTGTTTTAGGTCTATGAGAGAGAACTGTTGCATTGTGGGTACTGGTAAAGAGTCAGGTCCCCATGACTTTAATACTGTAAATGTTTTGCTCCTGTCATTGAATATATTAAAGGCTTCTGTTCAGAACAGTTCCCATCGTAATGAAACCACAACATTTAACCTTTTCTATTCCATTTTAACAGTTTTCATGTTATATTTGTAAATGAATAAATAAATATCTGTGCTGTTTTTTGACAATTTGAAAGCCTGTCTTAAAAAGTTGTCCCTTGTTAGAAGTTTGGCTAAGTTGTCTGACTGTCATTCATTTCTGACCATTTTCTTTCATTCTTAGTACTTGTTTTTTTATTGCCTTATATATTTTGTCTGTTTGCGCTGCTTTAATCCCTGTTGTTGAGCCAATCAATGGGACGTGGTTTAATTAATCTGCGTTGAAAAATAGAATCTGATTGAATAAATGGATTAAAGAAAGAATTCATTTAACAAAGACGTTTCTCTTCATTCCAAGAGATAATGAATTAAGCATGTGAAAAAGCTTATTGAATAAATACTTAGAAAAAATAAATTTTTGTCTCATTCCCAAATAAAAAGTTTCGTAAATAATAAGGTGTTTATAAGACAATAAAAATGGACAATATTTCACTTTAAATTCAAGAAGTGAGGAGAGTTGTTCCATGGTCACAGTCAGGGTTTATTAACCCCAAAGGTCAGCCCATAAATCCTCCTCCATTTATACATCCCCTCTTAAATCTGCCTCCATCCATTCACCGTTAAGACTTCAGCCACGTGAAGAAACCTAAAGGCCACTCAGTTTGGCCCTTGACCTCTGCGGGGTCAAGCGGTGGCACTGCGTGTCAGAGATATTGATGAGAGCGGCAGTTTGATCCTCCTCTGGTCATTCAACATTTGATCAGTCATGATCTTCCAGACATCTGACTGAGCTGCAGTTTCAGCTTTTGGGAATTAGAGGAGAATCCACCAACGCCAATGTCAGTGTGACCAGGGATCAGTAGTGGTTTAACACCGACACCCAATCTGTCCCAACAGGAATGGATTTTTTTATACATTAATATATTTATTAATTCATATCAGTAAAAACATGTTGTGTGACTACAATAAAACTGTCAGGAAATTCAGATAAAGTCACTGTGAAAAGACAATGACGTAGATTTTGGTAGGAAGAAAGTGCTGCAAGTAGGTCCCAAGTGAGTTGCAGCAGTCGTCAACTCTACATATCATTCGTTTATTTAATATAATCTTACTTGGTCAGTGAAAAGTCCATCTTTCAGTGGTAAATCAAGTCAATAACTTGATATCAAATATACCTTTAAAGCAGGAGAACATAACGTGTGCCTGGTGTAAAATCAAACCCTTCAAACATCACTGCCATCTTCCGACTTGAACACCTGGCCTTCTGCCTACAGGGTGGAGGTGAGGTGGAGGCACTGAAGCTTCCTTTCACTCGACTGTATATTTTAGGTCGCTAATTTAACGGAGTGGTGCTCTCCCACATTTGTGACATTCCCTGAAGGTGTGAAGAGCCCCCGCCCTACTGTTACTCATCTCAGTGGCCACTTCGACGCCAAGGAAAACACAACGCACTGAAACGCACCCTCAAGGTTTGTTCTTCATTATGTTTCCACTGACATTTGTGATTCTCAGAACATAGCAATTTGTTTTATATGATCTCTTTTATTTTTTCTCATGTTTGTGCTCGTGTGGTAGTAACGTCTCAGTACTAAGACAACTTAGTGATGCCGATTTTAAAATTCCAAGGGAACCGTCAATTTTTGCTTCACCTTCGTCTAGTTTCCCTCTACATGGAGCACCGTAGATTTACAGTGGGAGCAGATCTAGACTGCAGGCCGGCCAGTCTAAGACAACACCATCTCTGAAGCACTGTGGTTACAAATTTAATGTCAGGAAGTCAAAGGTCGTGCACTTCCTGCCTTCGGCCTTCACTTGTTTGTATACAGTTTTCTTATACAGTTTGCCAATAAGTCATCTCTTCGAACTATGATTAATTACTTTAGAAAACAAAAATCACACTGTGTATTTTTTTCTATTCATGACAGTTAGACTTATTAGCCTTTGTTATGGATATAATACAAATATTACTCTCAAATATTTTATACCCTGCACTGATTGATTGATTGATTGATTGATTGATGCACACTGGTCGTGTTCAACACGATCAATGTGCGTCACCTGAGGCCTTGTACTACAGCAAATGCAGTCATGCTCGTAGGGAGACCAGTGTGAGTGCAACTGTTATAATCTTTTCCCACAGAGACTGTACATTGCTGTGAGTGTGTGTGCTTGTGTGTGTGTGTGTGTGTGTTCATGCCTGTGGCCAGGGCAGCCTTGTTTTTCTGGTAATCAATAGAGCAGCTCAGGCTGCTCATGGGATGGTGTGATAAGAACTCTTTTCCTCCCTGTGTGTGTGTGTGTGTGTGTGTGTGTGTCTTCAGCGGATCAATGCTGGTCTAATCATCCCACCAGGGCAGTGTGAAGTCCAATCACCCTGTTCAAACAAGCGGCCACAACCTGACGGTGATTACTGAATTACTCCTGGTCCTGTCTGCGCCACCACCCTGTGCAAGTATGTGTACAGGGAAACCAGACTGTTGTCAACGGATAAGGTAACAGTGTGAATTACAGTAATACAAACGTTTTAATCACACAAATCAATGTACTCACCGTATAATTCCAGCCCACAAATGAACACTTTTTTATTTAATCGTGTTTTCTTTAGCTTAAGTGTTTCATTAATCTCTTTTATGAAATATCATCTGTTTACTCTGTTATCTTGAAGTATCTGATGATTCAAAATTAATTGAAAGTAGATCCAAGAAAGGGTTAATAAATAGATATTTTATGGACCAACCATAAATGTTTATAACAACTTACTATAAATACATCAAATCATGTATTAGAGGAAATAAATATTAGTTTCATTTATGTTGCTCTTACTCTTACTGTTTTTTCAGAACAGTTACTTCAGTGTCAGACCAGAGCAGTTAGAATAGGAATTCTTATTTATATTTCAATTGTCACTCGTGTTTCTCAGAATTCAGCGTAAAATCTCAGAATACTAAGTAGTCAGTGGTTTTCTAAAACATTGTGTTGGACATCTCGTTGCCAGGAAAGGATGAGATTTGGATATGAATGAGAAATACCCAGAACAACACAACATATCATTACCGTAACTGGTGGAGTAGATTTCAATAATAAAAGGCCATTTCCCACAGAATACCAAATATTTGGGGTTCTAAAATCACACTGTGTGTTTTAAGTAGCTCTCAGATTGTTAAAAGTTTATTAGGTTGCTTAACTCTTGTACTGCTGTGGTTTAATGTGTTTTGTTTCTGTGTGTGTGTGTGTGTGTGTGTGTGTGTGTGTGTGTCTATGTGTTAAGCCTGAAAACAGAGCAGCTTTTATTGCATTAGTGTGGCTCTGTTTGAGGGGCGTCACAGGGTCACATCATAACTGGGTTAGTCAGGGTTCAACAGGGCTGCAGAGAGGGGTGGAGGATAGGGGACAAGCGGAGGTCCCACTGGGTTCAAAACTGTGCGTGTGTGTGTGCGTGATCAAGAGGGAGGGCAGGAATTAGACCGTTCACGCTCGGCTGGACCCTGGGCACGCTGGCAGTCTGCACTGATAATCTAGTTAGCAGTGGAAGAGCTAGTGGGAATAAAAGAGGTGACTGGTGGGAGTGGGGGGTTATGGGTAATGGGTGATGGGTCAGGGACTTTGTGAGGGTGTGGTTGGCAAGTCTGTGGATGGCAGGTGGTTGACGCTGAATAGTAGAGTAGGCAGGAAACAGCTGACTGGACTGAATGGGCACAGATAGTGGTAAAGGGTAGGTGTGTGTGTGGGGGGGGTGTTAGTGGGGGGGGGTGGGCAAAGTCTTTCCCTGTAGCTAACAGATGGAGTGGGAAAATGCCATGTGTAAAAAATAGAAACATAGCCAGTTTGATTCAGGATCATTTTTGTTCGCTGAGCCACAGAGACGATGGTTTAATTTCAGACAATTCTCTCCTGAACTTTGACACAACTTTAATCTTGACACCCCAACCTGTCACCATTATAACATAATACTGCTGTAAAGGAACCTCTCAAACAGAACTCGCCGTTCTATTCTTGACTTTACTATTACATAATAGTTACACCTTTAAGGTTTAATCACAAGGGGTTCCTTGAGTTCTAAAATTCGGCAGTGTACAGCTCCATCACATCAGTGGTGCTGAGAGAAAAACCTCTGCCAGTTGGAGTAATGAGGACAAGCTCATATTCTCACGTTTGCTACGTGTTTGAGTAAAACACCTTAATATCCCGACGATGCCGAAACGCAGCGTCAGACACTTGTTTTCTCAGTCACACACAGATGTGCAAGTGTTGATTGAGCATTGTTGTAGGTGTGTGTTTGAAGCTGTCACTGCTTCTACATGTATTAGCACATATTATTCATATTCTGTATCACGCAGAACTGCGATGTTAGGTTTAAAACGTCCCTCAGTCATCTTTGAAATTGAATTTTCTTTCCGGTAAAACCTAAATAAAACTGAAGCAGATGTGACCTACTTGCTTTGAGGACGGCTTCATTGACTTCAATCTCTCCCTTGTTTGACTCGAGGAACTGCAGGTGGGAGTGGTAGTGGAGGGGCTCAGGACTGGGGGCTCCGCTGGAGTAGTTGGACATGTTGTCTCTGGGACTGTCCGTCCTTCCACGCTTTACTTTGTCGAAGACTGCAATCAGCTGCGAGAGAGAGATGCACAAAGTCACCAGCATAATCAAGCAATTAGTCTAAAGCACAAGTGAAAACAAATGAGGTTTTCTTGCAGGAGGGTTAGTGACAGAGAGACCCTACGTAGTTCTGCCAAGTGTGTTAAAAAACTTTATAGCAAACCTCCAGTCCTTAAAATGAAAAACAACCTAAAAACATAAATGATTTTTCCAAAACGTGCTTCAGGGAGAGCTACCAAAACTAGTCTTAATTTGCACAAAGAACAAACTTCTGACTGCAGCAAACATCTCTAGCTGTTAGCAAACCTGAATTGGAAAGTGAACTACTTTGTGACACACACCACTGCACACAATGAAATGTGACCTCTGCCTTTAACCCATCACCCAGGTGAACAGTGGGAGCAGTGAGTGGGGACGGTGCCGTGTTCACAGCACCTCAGTGGTGACTGGGCAGCTGGTGGACTCAGCCACCACTGAATAGGACTCAGTATTCTGTTATCTGTTAGAAAGAATGTTCAACTGTCTTTATGTGTGGACAGATGTAACATCCAAAGACTAGTCTGACAAGGAAAAACTATCTAACAAAAAAAAAAAGAAATCTTCAGTATTTTTATTCACAGCTGTGTCTTCTTCTGGAGTGTGTCAGGCACACACTCCAGAAGAAGCCAGTATCTTAGCTCTGACTTTTCTAAAGTGGATTTAGGAGAAACTGTCAGCCCTGGTGAGCTGGTTGTTTGAACAAAGCAGCAGATGAAAGTTAAATGTTACAGAACTTGCTTCGCTCTGAAGAAGCGATGGAGTAAGGGTCTGCCAAAGTGGAGTTACAACACACACACACACACACACACACACACACACGGGGATGTGAGGTGTGTGTGTGTATGAAATTCACAGTTAAATAAGATCTGACAAGAGAATGAGAAGCTGCCAAACACAATGACACGGCTGCCACAATAAGACGGCGCAGAGGAAGGAGGGGTACCAAATGAAGAGGATACGGAGGACAGGAGAACGACAAACAGTCCTAATTGAGACGGTGACATGATGGCAGATTGAGCAGAGGGGAGTGTGTGTGTGTGTGTGTGTGTGTGTGTTTGTCCAGTACGCAGCTACGCAAACGCCGTTGGAGGCACTGGTTTGACAAATGGGCGCATGGCAGCGTGACGCTCTCATTAGATGCTGGTGGTGAAAGGAAATGACCACTTAATGAGAAGTAATCACCTGCAGGGAACGAGGGATGAGAATGAAACAACAAAGAATTTCAATTAACGGAAGTGAGCGTGTGTGTGTGGGTGGACTTGATGCATAAACAATAAGCACAAAGTATGTGATCTGCCTCATCCATCATCCAATGACTTCACCTTTGACCTAAAATCCCATGATTCAACATTCTCATGACACCTGGATGACGCCATTCGAAAGAGATAAGCAACGCCCTTTGTATGTGTGTGTGTGTGTGTGTGTGTGTGTGTGTGTCTGTGTGTGTGGGTCTATGCACAGATTTGAAACAGGGAGTTCAGGGTTAAGATGTAGAATCCAGAGGCTGCAGATGCAGAGATGAGCGAATGAGAAAAAAAAGAGCGAACAGCAGGAAAAACCATCTGATTGTGCCGCCTGATGGATGCTTCTTCAAACTCCTTCTCTCTCCTTTATCTGCTCTCCTTCTTCTCGTCTTATCTGCCTCCTCCCTTCCTTCCTACGCCCCCGTCTCTTTCACCAAAAGCACTGACAGCATCAATCAAAGAAGTCGTCCTGGGAGCATGAAGTGATGCACCGCACACACACGGAAGCTCCATCAAGCAAAGACTCTTTTTTTCACTTTTCAAAACGTGGAAGTAGGAGGGGGGTGATGATGATTTGTTTTTCAAATACATTTTTCCCATCTGACACAGGTGGGGAGTAACGCTGATGAAGGCCGCCCCCTGTTGTTTCCCCCTCATCAACCAATCAAACAGCAAGTGTCAACACAATCAACAGTACACATTACTTCATTTGGAGGAAACTGCAGCAGTGATTTGGAGATTTAGAGGTTCAGTGTTACAAGACCACTTTTCTTCAAGAAAACTCAGTTTCAAGAACCACAGAAAAACCCTAGTGACCAACGAAATTACATCTACTTTGACATATTTGTACCAATGCGAACACCTGACCCTGGTTGAACATTCCAGCAGTAACAAATGATACCACCCACCCTAATCTACTGTCACTTGTATTCATATTGTGGATATTTTATCGATTTTCAAACAAGGACAGTAAACAATAAAAGAGGACGGGGTGGACAGGGCACTCCTTAAAAACAAAACTCCTAAAAATCTGAAAAAAATACTCCTTATATAAACAGGGAGGTGACAGCTACTGTATTTGTTTTGCCAAGTTGATGTGTGTATATTTGTCTGTATATTTGACTTCTATTAACAAAACAAATTATAGCATATTGTTTTGTTTTTTTGAAATGTCTAGCGGACTTGGACTCAGAGTGTGCAGCCGTGAGCCAACAGATAAAACCAAAACTTTAGTTCAAACGCAGACACGGCCTCTAGGTTTTCAAAAGCTGCTGATTATGCTAAGGTGAACGTGTTTACACTGTACTAAAAACACTGGGTTTACAGAATCAAACTGAGCGTTAGCTTGTGTTCCCAGTACTGTAACTGCTGAATTTCAATCAATATTTTCTTGGCTAAGTTGAAGTTTAATTAAATAGGGTTTCTTGAGATTTTAGAAATACATTTTTCGTGATTACACTTTGGTCTCAACATTCACCAGCTGTTTCTTTAATTAAATGTGTGTAACATTTGAAACAAATACCTCAAAGTGGGTGAGTAGAATTTATGACACCTATGCTCACCCACAATGTTCATTTATTTTAATTCAAGCAGCAACGAATACAATTGATCTGTGAGGTCAAACTGAACCGTGAACTTTGACCGCTTAAAACGAATGAGTTCATCCTTGAGATTAGCACTGAGTGGGAAAAGGAAAGACTGTAGTGTTAAATGGACCCGACTCATACTCTCTAACAGCAGGTGACAGTGGACAGAGGCGGATGAGGGTCAAACTGAGGGCATCATCTGGTTAAAGTGCTGACGGCAAAGCTTCATCGATTCTATTACTTCAACAAACAAGTGGGTAACACTCACTGCATGGTCCGATACCTTATGGGGCTTTTGGTGTTCCTTCCTCTCATACCCGAGGGTTTCGTCGGGTTTATGTCAGCCTCGTTTAAAGAAGACCTCGGACACTTAACTGACATTTATGTTCCAGCAATCAGTACGTGCTTTTTGTGCACAGCAGGCAATGTTCCGAGAAACTGTGCAGGCCTGGAACATGAGGTAAAGTAGCTTCAATCCAGCTCTAGCACGCTCCTGAAGGATGACACACAAAACACCTTGAAGAAATCAGACTGCATTTTGTTAACATGCAGGCGTTTTGGGTTTTTTTCTCCCGCCTTCTTCTATCTTCTGACTGTCATTAGTATTCCAGGAAAACAAAAACCTCACTATTCTTCATTCTGCAGCCGACGGTGGATATTGATATGAACCGTGGCAGCCTGCACGTCAGCGCATGCTGAATAATGTGACCCTTTTCTCTCTTATTTACATAACACACTCACTCACATTCTCCAGCACATGCTGATAGCAGAACTGCATACAAACGGCTAAATGCTGTACATTGTCATGCTAAGACGGTGCTGCAGGGCTGTTGTGTAGTGTGTTCAGTGTGAGCAGATTGCCTTCTACACAGCTAAGGTGATTACTGTGACATAAATTCAATCCACATACAATATTGTGAATGCACAAAAGACATGAATACTATTTATGAGCGCGTGTGCTGCATTCTTTGTCGTTGTCACTAAATACCGCACTGTGCAGATATTTAGACGAGCGAATAGTTCTCACTATTTTCACTACTTATCTTTCAAAACATAATTTTAATGACATTTAACTGCAAAACACATATCTGTCCAATCTGTGACAGCTTTTTCTCAGCAAGGCTAAAAAAAAACATTTAAATTTATAGTCAAATTTATTAAAAAGATGCCTTAAAACAGCTCAGGTTGGGTAGAAAGTAGCTTTTGGTTTTCTACTTTTGATTTGAATACTTTAAAAAGTAAAGGGAAGAGTGCGTGTCTAGGGGATGTAGTGAATACCTAAATAGTACTTTAACCAGAACCAAACCAACCAAACCTAACCAGTCCAGGTACCGTTGATGAAACTGCTCCGGATGTAATGCGTCGTTTTACCTTGTAAATGCCAAAAGCAACATTCACTAACCAACTAACTACAAGGTAAGCCCTAGTTAGTAGTTCTCCTTCTCAGTATTTGATCTGTTAAAACATTTTCCTCTACTGCAGATGTGGTTAATTAATCAGTGAATGATAAATAATAAAAATTAATTTTGAGACGTATACACCACAACTGCCCTCGGCAATACTGAACTCCAGCCAGAGATGAGAGGAATTATGAAATCACAGAGAGAGGACACAACCACAGTGTCACATGACTCAATCTGTAAATGTAAAAAGGATTATATTCTCCACATCTTTTATTACTTATTATATCAACTGTCATTCAGTGGAAGCACAGAGGGGTGTACAGCCACAGGTGAACAGCAGCTCGACGCTGTGACTACACTAACCTCTGACATCCCTGTGTCAAGAGGCTAAGAGTAAACCTTACAGTGATCAATAAAGTGACACATTAGTGTGATTACCGTTCTGCTTTCACACAGGCTGTACAGGCTGACAGCCAATCAGAGGGCAGCAATTTTTTTTTAAATTTTTAATGATCAGATATGAGACCATCACAGCTGCTGTAAACAGTGAATTATATTTACATGTTGCAAAGTCACAGACGGAACACTGTTGAGTGGCTTTAAATAATTGATGTGCCTGCTGTGAATTAATTCACAAGATGCAGCACGTCCTGTATGTAGACACACTCTCACACTAACACACACACACACACACACACACACAAAGACTGTTCACACACCGTAATAGGACGTTTTTGAAG